CTGAATATAAACAGAGGAGAAGTACTTTTTTTGGGGGGGGTGCAAGGTGGGAAGGGGGAATGGGAGGAGAGAAGAGAGAGGAAACTGCAGTCAGCATGCAAAATAAATAAATTGTTTAAAAAAAAAGAATGAAAACTCACTCAGGACAATATGCAGATTATAGTTCTGGCATTTAATGAATACTGTATCGAGGGCAGCTTAGAAGAAATAAGTTAACTCTAAACCCTGAATTTTGGAGGATTAAGACTCAAATTTCAGAAAGTATATGACTCTTGGCTTTAGTACTGGCCAAAGAAAGACAGGTGCCACTGATTGAAAATCCTAGTAACTCTGCAACTGATGATAGATGGCTTCTCAAAGGAAATCAAATGGCTATTTAGACAAAGAAAAGAGGGACTTGGTGTGTGTGTGCAAGAGTGCTTGTGTGTGTGTATTCACGTGTGTGCATGTGGGGGGGGTGAGAGAGAGAGAGATTTCATTGCCTTACAATACTTAGAACCAACAATTATTAAACACAAGTAAATCACATTTTCTCTGACTCACTTAGTTGTGTTTTCTGCTGTGAATGTTTGTACTTGTTATTTTAGTGTACGTTTTCCCATGCCATTAAAATGGGGTGTTTTCAATGCCCTAACACCTGGCTGTAGGGTGGATTTCTTGTGGATTTAATAGTCAGACAAGTGAGGTACTGTGAAGCCTCAGTTTCCATCCCAACCACGTATCCCAAAAGGATGGGTCTTTTTCACAAAGAGGCAGAGGTGTAAATGGACCCATGACAACTAAATATGTTAAGCAATTTAAAGACCATTTATTGAAAGTATGTGATCTGGACACAGCTGTGCTAGATTTGTGGACAGTAAAAAGACAGATACACACACAGAAATAACACTTCCCACACCTAAGAAGTTTGTAATGAACACACATACGCATAAAGATGACTGACAGTTCAAAGAACAAATATGTAATTCAGATGTTACAGGAAACTTCACATTCCTCTCCCTCCTAAAGTTTCCTGAAGAATTCCAAAGATTTCTATTCCTGTTGTCACTTTTGAATAGTAGATTATGCTACCCCTGGAGTTTTATTTTCATTTTTTCTTTCTTCCTCACAATTGTTGCTTTTGCTCTGTCCCAAACTAGCAACACCCTCCCTGAACACAGCAACCCTCGCTCAGACTTCAGAGAGGAGTTTCACAGCAAAGAAATGATAGCAGGTAAAATATATATATATATATATATATATATATATATATATATATATATGCTGAG